TGAGCAGCAGTAAGCTTCTCCATTCACCAAGGAACAACCGCAGTCTGACTAACCCAGTCCACCCATCTCCAAGCAAGTACAATCCTCTCAGTCTGGATTCCATAAAGGACATCTTTCCCTGGAGAAGTGAGTCTGCAACCTTTTCCTCCAATTCTAAGATTCAAATTTCCCACTGAGCCTGAACTAACCGCAGTGTCTTCCCCTCACCTTTCAGTCCCTGTTGAGCAGTGTTCAGAGCAACACTGGACTCACTCCCTAGTGCTTAGAGCAGCACTGGTTGCATCACCACTCTCTTAATAAACCTGTTTAAACTTTTCCCTGGTCTCTCTGTTTGGCTTTCTGCATCTTGGGGTCAGACCTTAGATAAAGATCATGACATGTACTGATTTTAGAAAATTAAATGTGTCCTTTGAACTCTGAAATATTCTTAAATGCATGTACCTTGGAATACTTAAGTATTTTCAAAAGTCACAACTTCAATCATTAAACTTGAGTTTATGTTTGACTGAGTAACTTTTAGTTGCAGTTGATTGAGATTTGACTATGAGTATCAATACTTTTACTCAAGTGATACTGTTGAGTACTTCATCCACCACTGGTAATCAGATGGCCTTTTTGTCTGTGGTACTCATCAGCTTGTGGATGATGGAATCTGATGACATAACCTTTTTTTAATATTGCAAAGACTTTGAAAGAAGATTCAAATTGACAGTTTTTTTGTTTTAAATCTGTGGGACAAACCCTCAGGTATCGTTATGAATCACCAGCACATGTATAAATAACACATGCTTGTGATTTCAATGTCTAGTTTATAGAAATTATTTATAGTTTAAAGTCCCCCTTTAATCTCCATCAGTCATGCAACACAACCATTTTTATATGTGTACAGGCCTTGGTACATAGGAACCAATTTTGTGCAAAGTATGGTTCCTGTCTGGTAGGAACCCGCCAGGAGGAGCCACGAGTTCAGCTGAGAGGAGGTCTGTCTGCTTTCTATCTAGAACCACATAATATCCAAGGTAGACTTAGACTTAGACAGTACTTTATTGATCCCTTGGGAAGACTCCCTCTGGAAATTAAGGTTACCAGCAGCTTACAGGGCAAAAAGGTGTAAAATAATGAAATGATAAAACCTCAATTTGTCGATTTATTTCTGAATTTATGATCTACTGTCTCTGAGCTGGTAAAACACAAACATGGATGCTTCCATGCAGATGCACTCCATAATTTCTTATCAGCTCAGAAAACCATTGTAAGTCCGGCTGACATATATAGGCATCCAGCCTCTCACCAGGATAATGTGTCTGAAAATATAGCCCTATGAAAGCGGCTGTGGTGGTAAAATCCGCTTATTCTATTATCATCCAACTGTGAGAGTGTTTGGCTCTGGGCCATCTAGTGGGGGCTGTGCTGGATTACTGAAGCTCTACCTGCGGTGAACTTCATCAAACCACCATGGATCACAGGTTAGATCTGATTTAATACATGGAGGCAATATGGCTGCCGGTGTCAGATGAGAAACTGTGACAACTTTCACCGTTTGTGGAGGAAATCAGCATTTGAAAGTAAATTCATTCTTTCTTTGGACGTCTCAAAAATATAAGAATGAATCAAAAAAGGTTCCTAAACAACAATGAGTCACATATAAAAAGAAGTTCATTTTTTCATGAAAGTTTAGACCTGCTTAGTTTCAATGATGTTCCAGAGTTTACTGTCATCATCTGTTAACTTTTCTATATGGCATTTAAAAGCGAAAACTAAATATTAAAGAAAGCTATAATTTCTCATCAACTCTGCTTTATACCAGAAACACAAAGATCTGTTTTTATGGCTTTTATCCAAAAAGAAATTGCCTGGCTACATATTTTTCACCACAAAGATAGAAAATATACACAGATGATTATGGCTGCAGCTTTTGTGAAGATGAACTGGGCTGCAGTTTAAGTACTGAAGTGATTCAGTTTCAGAGTAATTCCCACTTCTGCTCTGATACTGACTATTTTAGAGAAAACAAAGCATGTGAGACTGAAATTCTTCTAACCCCAATTTTTTAATGGGAATTTTTTTTTCCTCAAGTTTTTTACAAGTTGTTTGAGCTTGTCCTGTGATCCAGCATATTATTTTACACAGCTGCAAAATGTAGGTATATTGTAAGTAATCAGGCACAGGCTCAGGTTTAAAGATGAACTGGCAATGGGGACATCCTGGGGGCCACGCTGGTAGAGAGTAAAGAGACCAGGGAAATGGTTGGGATGTAGAATTGTGTCACTGGGGGCCACATACTTTGGATACGTTCCAACTGCAGGCCTTGATGTTAAATTCTGATTTTTTTTTGTAAAAAAACGATTTTTTTATGCATTGCCGTTCACATAATGCGACCTGGATGTGATCTCTTGTGTGAACTGCATTCATGCAACTAAAGTGTCCCGCATGTGTAGTAGAGCAGTAGAGGACGCAATGACGTCACAAGCATCTCACAAGCTCTGCGTTTAAGGAAGTAAGCATGGATGGTAGTGCTGGAGCGCATCTTGCAATCTTTCCTAACCTTAAAAACTCTATTTTTTCCAAGATGGTTAACAAAAAAAAGACTGCTCTCCTCACCATCGTCTCTCATGGTTGTTTTATTTCTTCCTGCTTCTGAGTAGCAAGACGCACAATAGTGACCTTTGTTGTGTAATAACAGCGTTCAGGTCGGATGAATGCGATCTGGCCGTTCAGACACAGGTTGCATTTGAAAAGATCAGATTCGGATCGGATTCAGGACCACAGAGCCAAGTGACCTGGGTTGCATTGGAAAAAAATCAGACACAGGTCTCATATGGCAAAAAAAATCGGATTCGGGTCACTTCAGGCTGCTATGTGACTGTAGCCTTATAGACAGAAGTCCTGAACTCCTGTTGAAGCTCCTCTAGCAGCAGAGGAGGAGGTCAAATATCTCCAAATCTGTCTAAATCTCTCACGGCCCCCTTTCGCTGTTACTGGATCCTTCCTCACAGAGTTTATGGCTCTCTTGTTTGGCTGGAAAATTCTGGGTTTATGAGTAGCACCAAAATGCAAATTTTCATGACCATAAGGCGCACCGTACTAAAAGGCGCGGTCTCAGTTATGTGTCCCATTTCTGTATTTAACACACACATAAGGCGCCCCGGATTAAAGGGCGCAGGTTTTATATACCGGTACATGTCCTCTACTACCTTTAAATACCTCTACTGCGTATTTAAAAATAGAGCGGGAGCAAAACTGAGTATGATTGTGCTTTATTCATGTATTTATTACAAAGTATTAATCAAACCCATCAAAGTCATCATCCTCTGTTTCTGAATTAAACAGCTGCGCTAAATCAGACATGCCAATTTCCCCTTCTTCGCTGTCAGAGTCACTTTCTGTTCAGCGCGGCTCCTCGGAAATGATGCCGGCTTTCGCGAAAGCTTGAACAACAGAGCCAGCAGACACGTTAGTCCAAACATTTTAAACTGTGGCGTAACTTGCCCGGCGCTGGCTTCCACTTTTCGTGAAACTGTGGTCTCCTTACTTTGAACGGCCGCTTCACACCGATGTCGAGCGGTTGAAGTTCCTTTGTCAGACCTCCCGGAATAACAGCGAGCACAGCGTTCATTTGTTTCACCATGTTTTTCACATCGGCTGTGAGATGGGCACGCATGGAGTCACAGAGTAACACTGATGGTGTTGCGTGACATACACCTTACATTCACCTCCCTCAGCCACTCTTTCATCATCTCCTCATCCATCCAGCCCTTTTCATTTGCCTTAATAACGACTCCAGCTGGAAAAATCTCTTTAGGCAAAGTCTTTCTCTTAAAAATCACAATAGGTGGCAGTTTCTGTCCATTTGCGTGGCAGCCAATCCACGCCCACACTTCCCCCTTTAACGTTCTCATGGTGGTCTCAACAACGTCCGCAGTAACAACACACATAGGCCGCGCCGCACTATAGGGCGCGCCGCACATTTTGAGGGAAAAAAGACGTTTATATGCGCCTTATAGTCGTGAAAATACAGTATATGACACAAAAAGAGGCTCAGAACACCAGTGGAAGAAGCTAATTGTGGGCTTCACCAAGCAAAACTCAATAGAAAGAAGTTTACAGAAATGCATCATTGATTTTAGCTCCCCCTGTGCTTCAAATATCAGCTGTCATACAGATTTTATTTCTTGGCTTTGCTTAGTAGAATGGGTTAGTAGAGGAACTAAAATCAAAATCAACAGATATGCAGACATCTGACTATGTGGAATTGAATTATTGACTGAAAGGGACATTTTTAAGGCAAAAGTAGTTTCAGGGATCAGTGAGGTTGATCACTTTCTGAGAAACAGGTGTCCTTTTAAGGATGTGAAACATCTCAGAAACAGCAGTTATTTGGTCAATCATAAGGAAGCTACTTAAATGTTGAATGATTTCTCCCTCATTTACAGTAGTAGCCATTCAACATTTCCACAGTTTCCTTGATGGGCCCTTGGCTCGTCCTTGGCTGGTCCCCTACAATTCCTTTTAAAACATCAATCTTTATAATAAAATACTCTCTCATGATTTGAGGACATTAAGATCTAAAGAGAAACACCATCTCCTGGTCCGACCCTGTAATTCAGTGAAAGGGTGAAGTCAGAGTAAGAAAATATGCACGCCCATGGGGGTTCTGCTGCCATTCAGCTGCCCTTCGGCTGGCTTTTGACTATGAAGGGCCATTTTGAATGGCTACTGCTGTATTCTTCATTTGCAAATGATCTTGAACAGAGAAACAAAAACGGAATAATAATAAAAAAAATCAGCAGATAAGTCACTTCCGGCAGAACTTTTTTTGGTGGCATTTTAGTTTATATCAGATCACAGATCCAGTTCCAAGAAAATAACTCACACATATTGCAGAGAAAACTGTGTAACAGCCTTGGCTTTAAGCCGACCCCCTGCTGCTTTCTCAGAGCTCCATTCATTCATTTTACATGGAAGCAGCAGCACACAGTGTGTGGAGCCAAAGTCCATACCTGCTTCAGGATCCCAGCAGCCATCTCATGACCGCAGTCAAAGATGATATGAAACTCTTTTCCCCTTTTCATCTCCTTCAATAGAGGCTTGGCATCCTTTGTGTCTGCAGGCAGTTGCCGGATCTTTAAGCGAATGTTGTACCGAGATGGTGCTTTTATTAGTTCTTGCAACCGAATGAGACCTGAAACAAAAGAACAGAAAAAAAAAACGGTTCACTTTGGACATATTTCCATTAATAAAACGGCCCAGCTGCTGCGGTCCCTGGTTTTAGAGCTATTTCTCATGGAAACCATGGAAAACTACACTATGTTGCTAGATTTTATTTACAGCAGCTCCAGGTTTTATCCTTAAGTTGTTGGGAAATATCTGTACTTAGTTCATGTCCTGTCAGACATTAAGCCCAGCCTTTCCAACACACACACACCTGAATGAGATTTGATTTATTCTGTTCTATTCTTATTATCAACCTTGTTGAAAGTGTGAATATAATATAGTTTTATTTAGCTTTTATAAATATTCTTATAATAAGCAAATGTACTAATCCCTAAATAGGTATAAAAACAAGATCTCACACTTGAAAATGATTTTTCTTTGTATATTTTCAGCTATTGTCTGTGACAATACAGTAATGCCTGCATGGGGAGTGGAGGCCTAGTGGTTAGGGCATTGCATTTGGAATCCTGAGGTTTTGATTTGGAGACCCACTCCCACAGACTGTCAGATGATGTCACGGGCTCGGGACATGTAGCGCTGGGATAAAATGTCTTTAATGGAGGGAAGAGG